GGCACCCATGGTGCCGATGCCCTGCGTCTGTGCGGGACCCCAGGCATCCATGGTGCCGATTCCCTGCATCTTTGTGGGACCCCAGGCACCCACGATGCCGATGCCCTGCGTCTGTGTGGGACCCCCGGCACCCATGGGGCTGATGCCCTGCGTCTGTGGTTGTCTCTCTAGGCTTCCTGTTTGGGCTGAAAGGACCAGAAGGAAGACCAGGCTTCCCTGGGCTTTCCGGCTCCCCCGGAGCCCGCGGACCGAAGGGATGGAAAGGTAAGAACGTCTGGGAGGGATGGGATAAGGACAGCATGGCCTTTCCGACTCCCTCACCTTACAGAAGGTGAAATCCGTCCCCCACTCATGTGTTTGGAGATGAAAATGAGCCTGCATGTCCCTCGCAGCCTCCTGTCCCCATGACGGTGACACTGAGAGGGAGTCGCATGGAGCCAGCAGTGCTGTCTGAGCACTCGGCCCCCAGGCTCACCGTCCCTGCTCTCCTTCCTCTTCACTGACCTTCCTAGCAGCACTGAGCCCGATGCTGAGTCCTGTGCTGGGTTAAAAGGGAAAACAGTTATTTCTTAAGCTGCACTCAGGTAATGTCTCAAGGGCTCAGCTCCAAGGCATTGTAACAGAGGTCTGTAGAGAGCTCTGTCCATGGCAAGGTGCTGGTATAGTCACCATCTCTGGTCCCACTGAGACTTGGTGGAGTGACGTGGCTTGCCTGGGTCTCCCTTCCTGTTGATGAGGAGGTGAACTTGGAACAGGTGGTCTTTGCACCTGACCCTTCCCAGTCACCTCAGGGACACTGCCCCTAGCTCGAGGCCATCCTCTGTGAGGCTCTGTGGGCCCGGTGTGGTGCAGAGTGTGCTCCTGCTCAGCTCTCCCCTCTCGGAACACAGCGGGGCACTTCCTGGCACTCACCACGCCCTGGCCGTTTTGGCATATGTGGGATGTGCGGTGCATTCAGCAGCCCACTGTGGATGGGCATGGCCTGATAGCAGGCACCACAGGGCCTGGAGGAAGCGGGGCCTCCCCACTGGGCATCATCTCTGCCCTGGGGAAGCCAACCCCTGCTGCCAGCATAGTCCTCCCTTGCGCCAGGCTCCCTGGGTTCAGCTGTGGCAAAACAGAGGAAGAGGTCAGGCATGTCTTCCCTGCTCACCCATGACCTTTCATGACCTTGGCCTCTGAGGCCAGGGCTCTTGCCCTCCCTGACAGCTCCCTGGAGCCAGCTCCTCCCCTCGGCCCGCAGGCCCAGTGGTGGCAATCTTCTTCCTTAACCTCCTTCACACTCCCCGCAACTCAGCCTGCGCCTCTGAGTGTGGTCCCAGTTTTTAAGTATCTTTAGTAAACATCAGAGTCAAATTCTGAACCCCATGAGACTGTGAATGAACACTTGAGTCGCTTAGTCTGAGCCTCAGTTTTCCCATCTAAGAAATGGGGGTCCTAGTGCCCATCAGAACAGGCAGTGTCCATGAAGCACCAAGTGCGGCGCCCCACTCTCCCCGCCACGCTGAGAGGAATGCGGAACAAGGAGGCCCTGCTCTCCCTCCTCTGCAGGTGACGCTGGGGACTGCAGATGTGCAGAAGGCGACGAAGCTGTCACAGGTCTTCCGGGACTGCCAGGACCCAAGGGCTTCGCAGGCATCAACGGGGAGCCGGGGAGGAAAGGGGACAAAGGAGACCCCGGCCAACACGGCCTCCCTGGGTTCCCAGGGCTCAAGGTGAGGAACAACTTCATCATGAAGCTGGCAGGACACTGTGAGGCCTCCCCAGGTGTCCCGTTCTTGCCTTTTATCTCCTAAGTTTATGCAGCTTCAGACCAGCAACACTCATGGACCCAAGGCATGGCTAAACCATTCAGAAACCTGCATACTCCAGGGTGGACTTTGTACACGTCCACTGGTGAGACTGAGAAGGGGCGCTGCTGTGGGAACCGCAGCCAACAGCCCTTGATAGAGTTCAACGGGGTCACCACTTGCCCCAGAAATGCCATTCCTGGTGTATCCCCAAGAGACTTCAAAGCACGTGTCCACACAAACACATATACACCAATGTTCAGAGCAGCGTTGTTCAAAATAGAAGGTGAAGACTATCCAAATGTCCATCACCTGATGAATGGATCAGCTAAATCTATACAGCATCTAAACCGTAGAATAGTGCTCACCTTCACGTGGGAGCGAGGTGCTGATGCATACCTCACTGTGGATGAACCTGGAACGTGTTATGCCATGGGGGTTGAGACCCACACAGAAGGACATGTGCTATCACATGCTCTCTCTTTCTATTCTCATGAAATGTCCACACAGGCAGCCTAGAAACAGGAAGTCGATTGGTGGCTGCCACAGGTGGGAGTGGGGGTGGGGAGTACCTGCTTAATGGGTATGGGGTTTCTCTTTGATATAATGAAGAAGTTCTGGAATTAGATAGGAGTGATGGTTGGACATCCTTGTGAAAATACTAAAAATCACCGAATTTTATGCTTTAAGACAGTGAATTTTGTGCTATATGAATTATATCTCAAAAAAACCTATCAATCATTTTTCATGTAAAAGACATTATTTATTTATCAAACGTTCACCTTCTCAAGTTTAGCAAGACCTGATTTAGCATTGTTGGAAGGCTTCCTTCACCGATAAAAAGCAAGACCTTTTGGTTTTTAAACCGTACATGTGCTTGTGTGGAGGTGTGGACCCCCCACACATCAGCTCATGCCTTTATTCTGTGCCTTGTGAAAAGATCACCTGCAGCAGACCTTTCTTCCATGGCAGGTTTTAGCTGACCAAAGAGTTCAAAGTGAATTTCAGATGGAGACAAATTATACTTTTTGTTGATTTTTTAATTTCAAAAAAGAACTTTGGGAAATTTATAAAGCAAAAAGTTCATTATTTTGCATATTCAGCAATAGAGGAAAAACAGTTGGTCAGGACACTTGGCCAAGGAAATGGAACAGATCTGAGTCCACAGCATGGAACAGAACTGCAGCCCCGCAGAGCCGTGTTGCTGACGGTCATGACTCCCCACTGCTTCATGGCACGGAGCTGTGCAGGTGAAAATGAGACCCGGGCACCTCGCTGATCCAGGCCCTAGGTTTTCTCAGAAAACAAACAGGAAAATTTAACCAAAAATAGCGGCTGCTCTGTTTTATCCCAGCTTAAAAAGGATACGGTCTCCGAATCACGGCTGTCTAGCAGTAACAGTGGCTCCAGTATTCAGAAAAAGTGCATGTGGTGAGAACTGCAAATATACCAATGGCAAGGCTAGTAGGATCCTCAGTTGTTTAAAAAGTGACCAGATATTTCTTAGAAGCCAAATGGATCCCATTCTGTGCCCCTGAAATGTCTAAAACCTTCCGAGCACACACGTCCGCAGAACTTTTGTTCAGACGCCTCTGGCTGTACCTGGTGTCCCGCACTGAATGCTGTGATTGTGTGTCTGGAAACCCCACTGCAGTGGGAATACCTGAGACCATCTGGGAGTTTTTTGGTTCGTTTTTTTTGGGTGGTTTTTTTTTTTTTTGGTTTTTTTTTTGGTTTTTAATATTTGTGCTGGTAGAGTCTGGCAGGGTGCTTGAAGTATGGGAGTGGATCAATAAGTCCATGCCTCCATCCATGTAACCAACATATATTGATTGATTGGGCCTGGTCTGTCTGTGAGGAACTCTCCTAGATTCTAAAGTAATGTTGCAAAGTGCTAAATACATCAAGAATCTGTGGAATTTTCTAGGAGAAGGGAAACTCCCAATCACTTGCAACATTCCATTTAATTAAAGCAACTCCACACATTCCCATATTCTTGGAAATAGCGTCAACCAAGATATGCCCAAAGTTAGCACAGCTCATTTGAAAACACTACCCTGACAGGTACCCTGCTCATCGTGGAAAGAGCTAGACGCGATTTTCCAGGCTGCGATTTGAGAGTCCCTGCAGGCAGCTTCTCTCTAAAGTATCTTTTTCTCCCAACCTTAACCTCAGTGCAAGAAACAAATGTCTATTAAATACCATTTATTGTTCTCAATATTATCACAAAATTTTATCCTCCATACCTGGATTAACCTACTTGGCTCCTAAACAGCCGTGGTTTAGAGGAAGCCACCTTGACCTTTAGTTCAGCGCTTCTCAAAAGGCGCTGAGCCCGTGGATCCCTGGGGCCTCTGTGGACACAAAGGCAATGATTCAGCTGCCCCAGGCTGGAGCCTACACATCTCCACCACTGGGCAGAGCCCAGGGACACTGAAGATGGGCCTAGGACCTGGGTTTCCCTGTCCAACCACCTGTGGCTACTTCCACTGCATTGTGTTTATTTATTTATTTATTTTTGGAGACAGAGTCTCGCTTTGTCGCTCAGGCTGGAATGCAGTGGCAAGATCTCGGCTCACTGCAACCTCCACCTCCCAGGTTCAAGTGATTCTCCTGCCTCAGCCTCCCAAGTAGCTGGGATTACAGGCGCCCACCACCGTATTCCACCACCACACTCGGCTAAGTTTTTGTATTTTTAGTAGAGATGAGGTTTCACCATGTTGGCCAGGCTGGACTCTAACTCCTGACCTCAAGTGGTCCTCCCGCCTCAGCCTCCAAAAGTGCTGTGATTACAGGAGTGAATCACTGCGCCCAGACGCATTGTAATTATTTAAAATTAAAGGAAAGGTACCATCCGGTTCCTCAGTCCTGCCATCCACAGTTCCAGTGCTCCACAGCCACTGCAGCCAATGGCCCCACACTGGGCAGCTGGACGGGGACGTGTCCAGCATCGCAGAAAGTGCTCCTCGGGTGGCGCTCGGCTTGGGGACGGGTGACTGCCTGCCTGCTGTGTGAGATGAAAAAGCTTGCCAACCATCTTCTCAGATGCCCTCACAGTACGAAGGAGGAAGACACTTTTTTGTCTTGTTTTCCACAGGGAGTCCCTGGCAACGTTGGTGCTCCTGGGCCCAAAGGAGCAAAAGGAGATTCCAGAACAATCACGACCAAAGGTCAGTTCCTCCCTGGCCATGTGGCTCCTGGGGCACTGAGCCTTCCTGTGGGCGCCTGCCTGGGTAGCTTCACATAAAATCCCTTTCCAGGTGAGCGGGGACAGCCCGGCGTCCCAGGTGTGCCCGGGATAAAAGGTGATGATGGCAGCCCAGGCCGTGATGGGCTCGACGGATTCCCCGGCCTCCCAGGCCCTCCTGTGAGTAGCCACAGACTGCGGCAGCTCCGTCCTCTCTTCTTCATCCTTCAGGTTCTCCAAACACCCAAGAAGCAAACAGTATTGACGCGAGCACTAAACCCACCCGTGCACAGGACAGGTTGCTCATTCTGCTCATTCTATTTTTAATGAGCAGAAATCAGATTTTTTAGGAAACGGTGAATGAAGTTGGAAGCCAAGCTCCAAGTGAACATTTAAAAGTCAATGAGCAAATAAATATTTGTCGTGGTGTAACAGACTAAGACTCCCCCGCCCAAAAAAAGTAGAATATTCTAAAATGGGTGACAGAACCCTATTTTTCCAAGGTAAATCGTAAAATATACAATTTCATTTTTGCAACTAACATACACTGGCATTGAAGGAGGGGCTATCTAGTAGCCTGCAGAAACCCCAGCATCATTTCCTCGGGGGAGGCTGGGGTCAGAGGCAAGGGAGGCAGCCACGGAGGGAGACAAGACCCCCTCCTGTGCACCCTCCGGCCTCTGAGCCTCCCCTGCCACCACACCTTTCCCACTGCCAGTTCTGGAGCGTTCTCTTCTCAGGACCCTGCAACCTTATTTCTCACGTCTTAATGTCTAGATTCCATTTTCCTCCCGCTGGTCACCAAGCCTATGCCTCCTTAAGCTCTTTGTACTGGTTTCCTGGGGCTGAGGTCACAAAATGCCACAGACTGAGCGACTTAGACATCAGAAATGTATGGTCTCACAGCTCTGGAGGCTGGAAGCCAACATCAAGGTGTCTGCAGGGCTGGTTCCTTCTGAGACAGTGTGGGAGGATCTGTCCCTGCCTCTCTCCCGGCTTCTGGGAGCTCTGGCATTCCTTGGCTTATAGATGGCTATCTTCTCTCTGTGTCTTCCCATCATCTGTCCTCTCTGTGTGTCTGTCTCTGGGTCCAAATTTCCTCTTTTTGTAGGGAGAGTGGTCACATTGAAATGGGCCCATCCTAAAGACCTCATCTGACCTTGAGCACCCTCAAAGACCTTATTTTCAAATAAGGTCACATGTCTGAGTCCTGGGGATTAAGACTTCAGCATCATGGGAGGACGGTTGAACTCATAATTCTCTTCCTCCTCCTCAGAGCCTCACACCTGAATTCTGTTTGCAGCTTATTTGCCTCATTCCATAACCCATGTCTTCTCTAGTTTTAATGTGGGTCATGTCTGTAGCAACACTCTTGAGTGCAGTGGTACAATCAAAGCTCACTGTAGCCTTGAACTCCTGGCTCAAGCCATCCTCCTGCCTCAACCTCCCGAGTACCTGGGACCACAGGTGCGCGCCAGCACACCCACCTAATATTTTTAAAATTTTTTGCAGAGATGAGATCTCTCTATGTTGCCCATGTTGGTCTCAAACTCCTGGGCTCAAGTGATTCTCCCGCCTTGGCCTCCCAAAACATTGGTTTTACAGACATGAGCCACCACACCTGGCCCACATCTTGACAGTTTAAGTGCAGTTTTTTGGGGCCAGAGAACACAGATAATTCTATGATTGGGTGTCTTAAAAATCTTATCTGGGAGGCAACAGGGTTAAATAAGAGGCAAAGCCATAATTGGTCACTTTAGCCAGAAGAGAAGGATGAGTGATGATTCCTGTGGTTGGAACAGTCTTTGGCCTGTTCAGTGTCATGTGGGGTGGGGGTGGTGAGTGTGTATGTGGTGTGTGGTATGCTGTGTGTGTGTGTGTGTGGTCTGTTTGAGTCTGGATTTGTTACAGTAGTGGTGGCCTTCCCTGGAGTCGGTGCCTTATGAAGTTGGTGATCAGGAGGTGCACCTGTCCAGCCTTGGGGTTCACCCACCCCTGCAGCTCCTAAGCGTGGCTGCCAGTCTCAGCCCAGCTGGGGGCGGGTGGTCGGAGCAGGGTAGGGGTAGGGGTGAGGGTTAGGGTCAGGGAGAACCCTGCAGCCTCAGCTTCCCATTCTCGGGGTGTAGGGGCTTTTCCCAGTGCTTGTGTGCCTTCCTTGTTCGGTAGCATCTCTAAGCCAAGAATGTCAACTTCTGACTTTAGAAAACTCATGATCCTGCCCTCGCCACCTTCCAGTGGCATTATCGCCATCGCTGTCCACTAAGTTCGGGGCATCTGCCCTGTGATCTCTGCAACAGACTTGTGTCCCCCTCCCCTATGAAAAAAAGCTAAAACACAGGGGTGCACCACTTAATCAGGGTCCCATAAATAGAGAGGGCTGGACTGGTGTCCCTGTCCCGCTCCGTCATGCCTTTGACAAGGAAGGGGCTGTGGTGTCGGTGGAGAGCAGGGTTTGATTTCTTACAAGCAGCTGCCTCGTTGTTGTGAGAACACCCAGCCTCGTCCCATGCCTCGGCAGATGGGCTGGGGTTTATGTGCACAGCTGTTTCACCAGCATGTGGGGACAGCACCAAGCCAGGCCGCGGTGTGTGCACAGATCACACCAGCATCACTGCTGCCGGCCTCCCCACCCCATCCCTGCACCTCCCGCCAGCACCCCCTAGTTGGTGCTTTCATCCACAGGGCAGCGCCTCTCCATTCCCAATCCTGTAATCTCTCCTGACTTCTGAGAAGCACACGGCTCTTTCATTGTCCAAATTAGCTTCCTTTCCTTTAACAACGTAGCATCCCTTATGAATAGGAGCCATTTCACCGACGCTAAATTATAGCAACAAAATCCTGTGTTTCTCCCTCCTCCCGCAGTAGAACAGAAGCCTAGGCCTTCACTGTTCTGGGGCTGCAGGCCCAGGCTGATGCAGGGGAGCTGGCGGGTGGGAAGAGAGAAATGCTCAAGCGTGTGCACATGACTTCCAGAACCGGCTTCTGTGGCATTGCTTAGACTGCTACACAGTCTGTCGCTGGCTCCTGTGACCTGGCCGACCGTAGCAGTAGGTTCCTGTTCATCTCTGTTGTCTTTCTGTTCTGGATCCATAGCTCAGAATTCCAGGAAATGGGAAAGGAAACAGGGAAGTCGAGGCGATCTTTAACATTAGTATATATTTTAAGAAATAAACTATTTTCACACAGGGCGATGGCATCAAGGGCCCTCCCGGGGACGCGGGTTATCCAGGAATACCTGGAACGAAAGGTACCCCGGGAGAAATGGGTCCCCCAGGACTGGGCCTTCCCGGCTTCAAAGGCCAGCGTGGTTTCCCTGGAGACGCCGGCTTACCTGGACCACCAGGCTTCCCGGGCCCTCCTGGCCCCTCAGGGACCCCAGGACAAATAGGTATGAAGGAATCCTCCCGTTTACCTTTCACAGTCCTGAGACATTCCACGCTTTCCTTCATCAGTGTGGACGTTTCCCGGGAGAGTCAGAGGAGGATGCTGTTTGGCCTCATCTGTTCTCACACGTACAAGGGATGACCCAACTGTGGGGTTTCTGGGTCCCCACCAGCCTCCCCTCAGCAGCTGGAACACGCAGCCTCTCCTCTAGGACTGCAGTGGTAGAGGCCTTGCCCAAAAGTTCAGAGGTGGCTTTCCCGTTCCCTGCCCACGCCACAGCCTTCCTGCCCCCTCCAGCAACATACGCGACACACATACCTTCACACGTGTGCACACCCCACAGGAGCCGGTCACTCTTACCTGTTTCAAAATTGCCTCACCCTGTCCTTTGTCTTCCCCCCAGATTGTGACACAGATGTGAAAAGGCCCATTGGAGGTGACAGACAGGAGGCCGTCCAGCCAGGTACTCTGGGAAGTGCAGGTGGCTTTAGGACACTAGGGAACTCTCAGTTGGTCTGCTGGTTTTGCTCTTGCAGTGTGCATGGAATAGGAAATATTAATAATATGTGCAAGGCACGTTTGATTTCCACAGCACTAGCAGAGTGGCCTGGTGAACACTATACATTGCATGAATAACAACCTGGTAGAGACGGAGAGACATCTGACCAGTCCCCTCTCATCAGAAATCCTTGTTCCCTGGAAAGTGCCAGTGCATTCCAAGTCAGCTCCACAGGCACGTGTGCTGCCAGGAGGGTCCAGGCAGAAGAGCCCAGCCCAGAACACAGGCAGTGGCCAGGATGTCAGGCCAAGATGGGAGCCTGGTCCAGATTCCCAGGCTCACAGACAAAAGAAAGCTCCAAGAGTAACTGTTCTTGCAAGAGAGCCTCTTAGACAAAGGGCAGACAGCACAGTACCGCAGCTGGAGTGTCACTGCTCCCGGCCACACCAACCAGAAGTGCGCGCAGCCTTGATTTAATGTTTTAAGGTGTCTAATTGCTGTGGTGCACTCTGAAAGTAGATAAAGTCCCAAAGGAGAAGTCAAATAATTCATTTTGAGATCACAGGCTATCTCCATCGCTGATAGACGCTTCCAGACAAAAGAAAAGCATCCACACTGACTTGCAGGGTAGCAGCCGGATGAACTCCGTTTGCACCCAGGCTACTGCCCTGCAGGAGGGACTCCATTGTTTGCCAGCGCAGTGTCCGTTTTTATTTGACTAGACTGGCTTAGTTTGCATTTTATATGAATATTTTGATTTCATTACACAATGAAATTAAACTTGTATTTACGTCAGAACCAAGATGAATTAAATCATTCAGTGACTCTGATCCCAGAATGGTAGCCGGTTTGCACGGCTGGTGCTTTTGACCTTGGGGATCCCCAAGGTCGTGGGATTGCTTGGGCTCATCTTTTCTCCTTTCTGTCCCCAGGTTGCATAGGAGGGCCCAAGGGATTGCCAGGCCTGCCAGGACCCCCAGGACCCTCAGGTAATGCACAGAGGGAACCCGGAGTGCACCCAGCCTTCCTCCCACATCTTCACGCTTCTGTGTCTCCCTCGCGCATCTTTCCTCTGATCCTGTATCCCCCGTCCCAGACATGATCGTGTCCAGCATCTCAGCACAAACTGGTCTTGCACCTATGGGGAGCCCACTGTCGTTTGCCACTATAGAAAAAGGAGTCTGGTAGCTGACACTTAGTTGGGGCCAGGCTACAAGAGAAAATTCAGCCATGGCTGCAGGGGAACGCCCCCAGGGGCAGAGATGGAAGCCTCGTGTTTAGGACTGGAAAGGGGTTGTACCTCTATGTATTTTCACTTTATGCCTTTCCATCCCAGGATCTAGGGGAAGAACCTACAGGAGAGGATTCTTTCTTTTGGGTTTTGACTGACAGGAAACAGGAATAAACAAGGCTAGAGTGTTTATCGCTAGCACCTGGGAGGACCTGGGCTTCGATCTGCTGGCCCAGGCCATCTCCCAGCCTGTGTGAGAAAGAGTCTGGGCGCTCTTCACAGAGCCCGTGCCTAGGGCCACCCATGCTTTCTCGGGGATGGCGTGTCCAGTGTTGGCGGTGGGGCCCTGGACAGCCACCACTGCTTTTGGGATCCCCTGCCTGTACCCAGTGTCTGCTGCCCTGCGCTCCAGGGTCTCCGTGGGCCTGTGGGCATCGGGGAACACAGAGCCAGGGCTTCCACTCAAGCCGGAGGAGGGCTGGAGCCTGAGAGGTGGCCCTGTGCCCGTGTCCATCAGCCTGAGGAAAGCGAGTTCTCTGAGCGGTAGGAATTCCCCTTTGGATGTCTCTTCCACTCGGCCTGTGATGGGGCCGGGGAAGCAGGTCACTTGGATAACAGTGTTGCAAGCACGAGACACAGCCAGAGCTGTTCTCACTTGTTCCTTCTGCAACTGAGTCCCCACCTGTGCAAGACGAATAGTGCAGACGGGCATTCTAGACGCTTCCTGCTGCACAAATCATGCCCTCACCACTTCCCATGATAAACTGTAAAGAGCGACACCAGTGTAGTACGACCAGCACTGAGAGTTAGGAAAGTGGGTAGACACACTGTGTGTGCCCTGCGCCTCAGGACGTATGCGGAGTTCACCATGATCACAGGGTCTGGGAACCACAGGACAAATGTAAGGTATCATTTGCACCATGAGCAGAGGTAAAGGCTCCTTGTGTTGTCTTCTGAGAACTGAGCTTGTATCTTCCGCATTCCGTTAGACCTGCCCCGAGTCTAATTCCATTCTTGGATTTCAACACCGTCACTCATACAGCAACCCCCAAAATGGTGACAACTCCACATGTCTCAGATGGTCAGGGAGAACCAGAGGCCAGCATGCTCAACACACACCCGGACCACAGCCCTGTGCCAAGGCCGGTCACCGGGAAAGCCTCAGAGGCCCGAGTGTGGGTTTCTGTGGCTTCGGGGCTCCCCAGCCATGCCCAGTTATTTCCATTTCACACCCAGGCCCCCATTGCTGGGAGCCCCTTGCTGGCCTCCCGTCCAGTCCTCCCTCTCACTCCTGCTGTCTGCACACCACTTTCCAAGAGTGGAGGGTGGGTTTGCATCACACACATCCCCTTCCCCAGACGCCAGGAATGGGGATGAAAAAGCGTGGCAGTTGGGTTTTGTGACATTGGTGAGGAACCTCAGCCCTTCAATTATCAGAAAACACTTCTAGAGCCCACACACTGGGCCAAGCAGGGTTCAAGTGTTTGAGAAGAGTCAACTCATAGTCCTCATGGCGTCCCCATGAAGCAGGCAGTCATTCTCCCCACTTTACAGATGAGGAGACTGAGGCACAGAAAGTTGTCAGTGGTCGCATGGATAGAATAGGTAGGGCCAAAATTTACAGCCCGGCATTCTGACCCCACCGCCAAAGCCCTCATTTAGAGCACCGTAGAATCTAATTATTGGATATTATTATTCTTATGGTTCCAGTCCGTGAGCAGGATTTTAAACACTGAAAATCATTCTGTAAGCCTGGAGGTGCTGTTTCAGGCTGACATTCCCCCCAGCCCCACTATTTCCCAGTTTCATGAGATCCACATTAAGTCGGATGCCAAGCATGACCACACCCATTTATCCTCGTGGGACCTGATGTGGTCTGTGGTTTATTTGGGTGTTTAGGTGCCAAAGGCCTCCGAGGAATCCCAGGCTTCTCAGGAGCTGATGGAGGACCAGGGCCCAAGGGTTTGCCAGGAGACCCAGGTCATGAAGGGTTCCCAGGACCCCCAGGTGAGTTGAGATCAGACCCCCATTCAGCCCCTGGGTTCCAGGGCGGGGACCTGTGTGTGGTTCGTCAGCATCCAGCTCTATTATCTTCCAGTTTGTAGAAACTGTTTTGACAAATACTTGACAACTTTTGCATTTGTCCTTGGGAGATTAGAAATTCTTGATTTTTCGTCACTGATATTGTACTGGGTTTTTGCAGAAGCTACCTACAGATCTTGCAGGGAAAAGGAGACAGGTGTTGTGGAATGGCTGTCCTCCGCAACACCTGTCTCCCGGGTATGTCCTCAGTGTTAATCATGATTAATATTAAACATTCTAAAGACAACACAAAGTTATCCTCTCCTGAGAGAACCCTTAAAGGCATAAACAGCCCTCTCACGATGTGGCTGCAAGAGCTTAAGGCATTAATTTGTATGTGGAGGAAAACAAGTTTTCCCTTAACCAGCTCTGGTGAGGAGTACGCACTGCATGTCAGTGTGCTCTGGAATGCAGCCTGGCATCCACAGACGTAGGTATCCTGCAGTTGTGCCACAGGTGATGTGCATGAGTGTGGTGGCACTGCCTTGACTGCAGGGGCATGCACGTCTTTTTTTTTTTTTAATGAAATGGAGTCTCACTCTGTCACCCAGGCTAGAGTGCAATGGCACAATCTCAGCTCACTGCAACCTGCACCTCCAGGGTTCAAGCGACTCTCCTGCCTCAGCCTCCCAAGTAGCTGGGATTACAGGCATATGCCACCACACCTCGCTGGTTTTTGTATTTTCAGTAGAGACTGGGGTTTCACCATATTGGCCAGGCTGGTCTCGAACTCCTGGCATTAGGTGATCTGCCCGCCTTGGCCTGCCAAAGTGCTGGGATGACAGGCGTGAGCCACTGCCCCCGGCCACACACGTCTTCAATAGTGTGTGTCTAGTGAAACCGTGGAAGCCATTATGGACAGCTTTCCACCCAAGATGAAACATCCTTCCACAGGGCCCTGGACAGGTTCTTCCAGCCTCTGCTGGAATCCCGCTTGTCACCTAGAACCTGTGGCACATTGGAACCCTCTTGTTGCTGGAAAGTTCCTCCCTGGAATACAGCCAGCCTCCCTGGGCTGTTCTCACTGGGCTGTTCCTGAGCCACACAGTTGACTTCCTCGTAACCACACACCCTGAGAGAGGGGCCACATCTCCCACAGACGTCTCATGACCAGGCAGAACTGACCCCGGGAACACACACTTTCTTGTAATGATATCTTTCCATGCTGTTGGAATTCTGAGTAACCTTCTAGGACCCCCACTTTTCAGGATTCCTTTGCAGCTGGGCTCTAGAAACTGAATAAAGCGCTCCCCATGTCTGGAATATCACACAGAACGTCGGGACTGTTGCACCCTTAGGTTGAGCATCCTGCAGATGTTCCCAGTGAGGACCGACTGAACCCTGCCCCTCCCCTGATCTCCACTCAGATGGCTGGTTTAAGCCTCAGTGCAGAAGTGTCTGTCAGTCCCTGATAGATGGTATCTTTCTGAATTTTGTGCTGCAGCCCATAGGGATTGTTCCAAACCCCGACCCTGTTTCCTTTCCTATGATGGTTTCTCCATGTTTTTCAAAATTGGGAAGCAGACTTACTGTGTCTGTATCAAGACCCTGGTCAAAACAGCTCTGCATTCGAGTGAAGCAAAGGAAGTCTCCAGGCCTCTGCCCCAGGGATGGGTCTCTGCGGTATTTATTTAGTATTTTGAAGCGCAGCATTGCCACTCTCATGATTTCATATATACTAAGTTTAAGCATTCATGATTTTGAGAGGAGGATGATAATTCTTGAACATTTTCCTGCTGTGAGTATAAAAGTTCTATGGTAATTATGATTGGAGTGCACAGCCGTGTCTGCGTGAGCGCCATACGGGGCTCCCCTGTAGCGGGGAATGGATGGGATGTGCCCATTGTCAGGCGATTTGGACAGTTGCCCACGTGAGTTGGGAGCCTGTTCCACCATCAGATGTGAGCCCTTACGTCATGAACAGGGAGGCTGGGGCAGGCCGGGGGTGGGTGGTGATTGAGGAACTGACCGGTTTCCGAAACGCACGTCACTTTTTATGGTGCTGAAATAGAGTGCACTTCCGTCGCCACATGCAGAAGAGGTTAAAACGCCCAATTCAAGGATTGCAAAAATCAGAGAGAGTCTGTTCTAGATCTAAGACCCACACGTGCACACCCAAGCACACGGCTCCCCGGGTACAGTTTGTAACATTGCCAGGGGAAGTCTTGTCTCTTCATTGTGAGTAAATCACACCGTTGAAACTCTGAGTACAGTCTAGCTGATTAACGTCAGGTTAATCCAGATCCTTTATCCTGTGTTCCAATCACTCCCAGCTCACAGGCGGGGATGGCTGTACAGGCCCACGAGGGCCCAAGGCCCTGCTTATTGGATCTTTTTGGTGGGATACACCCCACAGAACACAGAGAACGTTCCCTTTTCCACATCCATACATAGGAGTGCCGAGCCTGTCGTGTGCTCGATCCTGTCCCACAGAATCACCTGCCAGTCTCATCATTGCAGGTTTCTCTCCTGCATGCACAGCGGGGGTGGTGGTGACCTCAGAAGCCTTTCGTTCTGAGCACAGCGTGACTGTCAGCTATGGGGAGTTCATTCTGAGGCCACGTCAGGGCTGGCTGCACTGAAAAAGGAAGTGACCTATGAGATCATTTTATCCAGTGGCAACCACAAGAGACACAGGACAGCCACCTTCCCTCCGTCCACAAATGGGACTTGATGATTTTCATGGTCCATACAACAGAGGGGTGTCGTTCCTCTTTGAAGCGTTTCCAAACACAGTGATGGGTTTCTACCAGGGAGACGTTACGGCAGGCAGCATTTTGGCTTTGATGGCCCTGCTCGTTCCTGCCTCCCTGGGATTTCCCTGTTCCTCACTCACCACAACCTAGAAGGTCCTACAAAAAGCTGTTCTTATTTGCAAAGCAGGGGAACCCATGAATTATGCAAATCTGGGTGCAAGGAGGCGTTCTTAAGGGCTTGTCCACCTTCGCTCAGTTTTAGGGCTGGGGTCCGGATGGCGGGGGAAGCAGAAGAAACGTAACCAACAGAACAACGTGGCAAAGGTTGTAGGTTCCAAGAAGGGCCACAGGGACAAGGGCTGGAGCTGAGGAATGCCTTCTGAGGACCCCATAGCCAAACATTTGCTGTTTCCAGCCTCTTTTTGACACTTCTCTTAGAACGTCACCACGCTAACTTGTGGTTTGGGGCCCACCCATGTTTCCTTTTAGGGTTCATAGGACCCCGAGGATCCAAAGGTGCAGTGGGCCTCCCTGGCCCAGATGGACCCCCAGGTCCCATCGGCCTGCCAGGGCCAGACGGGCCCCCTGGGGACAGGGGCCTTCCTGGAGAAGTCCTGGGAGCCCAGCCCGGGCCACGGGGAGATGCTGGTGTGCCTGGACAGCCTGGGTTTAAAGGCCTTCCCGGAGACAGAGGCACCCCTGGATTCAGAGGTGAGTGCCCCACCGGGGAGCCAGGGGCCCCATCGCAGCTGCACAGGGCCTCCAAGGGCGACCCCAATCCCTTCCAGGGGATTTGGTAGGAAGCAACAGCACCCTATGGTGTCAGCCGTGCGTACCTTCTCCCGTGGCCTTCCAGTGCTCCTTTAGAAAGTGTCTGTGACAACACCGTGATACCTGCGGTAGTCGGTGCAGTCTGGCCATCTGAGAACTTTGACAGGTGTGGATTAACTGATGTAATCTGTTGTCAAGTTGCATATGCCTGGCCGTGATGGGGGCCGTGACAGGCTCACCGGTTTCCTTGGCATAATCTGTACAGTTGGTATGAGGAAAAGATGATGAGCCTGACCATGCTTAGTCAGAGGTGAGGAAGGAAAATAGGAATAATCTGGAATGCAATTTTATTGGTGTAAAACTTCATACTTTTTGAAAATGTGTTAATGTTGTTTACAGTGTTATCAATGTATCTCTATCAAAGTAGACAGAGCACCCACGTTTTTTTTTTTTTTTTTGAGACGGAATCTCGCTCTGTCGCCCAGGCTGGAGTGCAGTGGCCGGATCTCAGCTCACTGTAAGCTCTGCCTTCTGGGTTTACGCCATTCTCCTGCCTCAGCCTCCCGAGTAGCTGGGACTACAGGCGCCCACCACCTCGCCTGGCTAGTTTTTTGTATTTTTTAGTAGAGACGGGGTTTCACCATGTTAGCCAGGATGGTCTCGATCTCCTGACCTCGTGATCCACCCGTCTCGGCCTCCCAAAGTGCTGGGATTACAGGCTTGAGCCACCGCGCCCGGCCAGCACCCACGTTTCATGAGTGACAAGGCACCCAGTGACTTTAAGGGTTCAAATGATGCCAAATCGGCTTTGGGAACCCCAGCCCCAAGCTTTAGTGAAAGATGATGCCGTGGACAGCAGGTGTTCACACTGGGTGAAAGAAGTGGGGAGAATGCGATGGAATACATTAAATGTCTCCAGTGATAGAGTTTTATTCATGTAGTTATTTAAATGTTTCAAAGACTATTTTTAAATGTGGCACAGTGTTCAAAATATAAAGTCAAGTGAAGAAAACTGGGTTAAAACTGTACTTATTGTGCCATGTCCACTCTGCCAGTGTCTAGTTATTTGTAGGAATGGAAAAGGGCAGGAAGGAAATGCCCAGTGGTAGTCATTATCCCTGAGTGACGGTGTGCGTTACCTTGATTTTATCCTTTATACTTCTTTGCGTTTTCCTGATTCCTTAGAGTCCAGAAAAGCATGAAGTACTCTTTTAACAGAATGAGTGTGTGGAGGGAAATGCTGTCTGTGACGAACAGTCCAGAGTCGGCCCCTACAGCTCTTGTCTCTGATTCCCGCAGGAAGTCAAGGGATGCCTGGGATGCCAGGGCTGAAGGGCCAGCCGGGCCTCCCGGGACCTTCCGGCCAGCCAGGCCTGTCCGGGCCTCCAGGACAGCACGGATTCCCAGGAGCTCCTGGCCAAGAGGGGCCCTTGGGGCTGCCAGGAATCCCAGGTCTTGAAGGTGAGACTCCAGCCCTCCCATAAACGTGTAGGATCCTCACTGGTCCTGCCAAGAGAACTAGCACTGCCTTCTCTGTGGAGCTCTCAAACTCTGTTCCATGGAACCCCTTAAGAGCTGCAGGGGTTCCCAAACCAGAACATGTATTTCGCCTAACAAGGAGACATAAACAGCTGGAGACATCGGCTCATTCTCTGTTCCTGTTATGTATATTAAGGATCTAGGGGAGGTTTCATCAGGAAAAAAGAAAAAAGAAGAAATTCCCACTGCAAAAGTTCAGAATCGCCGCTCTGATGTGGAGAGGAGAAATTGTTTTATGAAAGTGCAGGGTGTGGGTTGGAAGCAGGTGGAAAACTGGGGTGGGGAGGCTGGAGCAGAGTAGCGGGGAGGGGAGCCTCGGCTGCATGCCCACCACACACAGGCCAAGGCAGGTGGCAGAGGTGGCCCGGAAGACAGCAGGGCACAGCATCCATGGACATCACCCAGGGCTGGCCAGGCCACTCTCCCAGCACTCAGCACAGCCAGTTTCCCAGACTTCTACGCTTCATGGTCCAGTGAAACTGTCAGTGCAGGTTGGAGGAATCAATACACATTCCCACCTTTTTGTTTTGTCCAGAAAAACAGCTTTTTAAGGAAGTGTCTTATGTCACCAAAGGACACTGTAACTGAAAAGTGGGAAAGATGCAATTGCTTAGTAAGGAGTGGTCTCCATGGACCACAATCTAGAAACTCTCAGTCTTAGCATACTTCTCTGGTTTGCCAGTCAGGCGACAACTTTGTCCAGGACCTTAGCAGGTCTTTCTAGGGAACTGCCGCGCCACTGGAAGACGCACACTGGCTTCCCCCATGTGGGGCCTCGCCTGTGTCCAAGAGCTGGGGGCTGGACTCAGGCAGGGCCCACTCCCCCATTGCCGCACTAGCCACTGGCTTCCCGGGGTAGCAAACCTGAACCAGAGGTTCAGGCTCCTATCTCAGTATTGACAGGGCGGCACTGGTTCTCAGCTACTGAGAATCAGCTAAACACGGCCTCATGTGGTGCTTACGAGACCCATGGGAAAGCCTGTCCTGAACCAAAGCCTACACTTTATGTGGGGAGAGAGACACACACATTAAAAGGCTCCCACTTGCCCTGGGCAAGCCAGCAGAGTGACAAGGCCACGCGGCCCCCAGTGACCCAGAGGAGGCGGGGACAGGCAGGTCAGAGCAAGCCCAAGGGGAGAAGTACCTGGTACCAGCAGGAGAGAAGGCTGGGACTCGAATGCAGGGTGCGCTCTAGGAAAGGGGGACCACCCCAGCAGAGGCAGGATTGCCCAGGGAACACTTTGGAGCCTGTGATCCCCCAAACCGGCTGGGGAAAAGAACCTGGTATGAGGGGGCTGGGGGTTTGGATGGGAAGATTGAGCCGAAGGTTGGGAGGAGTGAATGCTGGAGCTGAGGAGTTACAGCCCCCAGGCAGTGCAGGCTTTTGGGAGTTTTTAACAGAAAAATGCATTAAGAAGGGATTTTAGGGACCCAGCAGGCAGTCCTCGGACGGCTTGGAGTCGGGGGAGGCGCGAGGACAGCTATGGGCTGGGAGCTGCCAGGCTCACGACAGTGGCACTGGTGAGATGGGAGCACGTAGACCAAAGAGGCAGCGGCAGCCAGTGGGCAGCTGGAGGGTCCCCCAGACTAACTCCGGGCTGGAGCCAGTGATGTTTGCGAGGAACAGGCCAGCTCTTGACTAGCCCCAGTGACCAGGGCCCCCCACTCACATCAGCATCCAAACAGCTTCATCCCTTGGCTTCTGAAGGCTGCAGTGGGAAAGCCATGTTGGTTGGCACCCCCCAGCACAGCCTCAACTTCCAGATAAAGACCTCTCCTGAAAGGCCAGCCCCAGGGTCCCACTCAGGCCACACTTTGGAAACTCACCCCAACATGGCGGCATTCCACTTTCCTTCCAAGAAGCTTTTCTTACCGAACACTCAAAAGTAAGATGATGTTCTTTCTGCTGTAAAAGCAGAAGAGAGATTTCCTCTGTGTGTGTGTGTTTGTCCACCCTCTTTGATTTGCTCCTCTTCCCGACAGGTCTGCCTGGAGATAGAGGGGACCCTGGGGACATAGGCGCTCCTGGCCCTGTGGGCATGAAAGGGGTCTCTGGTGACAGAGGAGATGCTGGCTTGGCAGGGGAGCGAGGCCATCCAGGAAGCCCTGGATTTAAAGGAATTGATGGAATGCCTGGGACCCCCGGGCTGAAAGGTAATTGTGTGACTGTGACGAGGGATCACTTTGCGGGGAGGTTGGGTCTGATAAACTGTGACCTGAGACAGCTCTGCTGGGCACCTCTGTGGGCCGCGGGGCTGGCCTCACACGTCTGCAGATTGGAGGCCTTGGGACTCTCCTGACCCAGGAGACAGCAGCCTCGGATCGGCTGGTTAATGCTGCTTAGACGCTGGTGAGACCAACGTGCCTGACAAAGCCAGTTTATGAATTTGCCAAGACAAACTGCTCTTGCCTGGGAAGCATCATGTTACTGTAAATGTGACCATCTTACTGTAAATGTGACCACACACAGGGAGATGTGTGGAGAGGTCCACTCAGGAGCCTGGATTCAGATCCAGAGGTTATTTGGTGAATTTGAAACCAAAGCAAAGCAAAGTAGTTGGTTACAGGGATAGGTTTATTTCAGCACAAGCAGGCCAGTCTAGAAGCAGAGCCCTCCATCCCGTGAACATTGCTAGAGACACACAGTTCTGTCCTTCCGTTGCTGGAGACACATGGGTTGGTCTTTCCATTACTGGAGACATATGGGTCTGTCTTTCGGTTGCTGGAGACACCTTGGTCTGTCCTTACGTTGCTAGAGACATTGGTCTGCCTTTCCATGGTCCTGTGTCGCGTTTCCGTGCCAGGTGCAGTGTTGCTGCTGCCTTCCTTTCCAGCGCGCCCCTCTGCCTTTGTCTTGATGGGCCTGTGGGCCAGTGGACCTGCATCACCTTCAGATTTCCCTGCTAGTCTTCCTGCCTGACCTTTGTGTGTTTCCTTGTTGCCAGCGTCTGGTCGGAAGACAGGCTGGCTCTGGAATGCTGTCTGTTAATAGCAGAGATCAACAGAGAGAGTTGCTCAGAAGATGGTGTCCCCGGAAATCCCTGTTTTAGGCTCAGAATCTTCTTTCTTGAGTCACATTGCCGAAACGTTACAGAGACGTGAGATTAAAATGTCCCATGCATTTTATTCATGTCTAACCCAGCACTTTTCTCTTTTCCTCTGAAGGAGAGAGAGGCTCACCTGGGATGGATGGTTTCCAAGGCATGCCTGGACTCAAAGGGAGACCCGGGTTTCCAGGGAGCAAAGGCGAGGCTGGATTTTTCGGAATACCTGGTCTGAAGGGTCTGGCTGGTGAGCCAGGTTTTAAAGGTATGTCCCTCTCTTAACATCCTCCTAACCCTTTCGTGGTGGCGTGACATTGCCCAGAATGAATTTTTGAAAACCCATGCGTCCAGGAACCCTAAGCTAGATGAAACAAACAAAATGAACTATCAAAAACTCAAAGGCTTTATCCCTGCCTCAACACACTGACCATGTGATAAGGGAATAATCCTAACCAAAGGAAACTGTTGAGAACCAAAATGATGGCATCGCTAAGAACCAAGTATGTCATGAAAACATATTCCACCATGAGTATATTGTGGTAAACATAAAGGGGGGCTGGTGAAAAGCAGGGAACAGATGAGTTCCAAGAGAAGGGAGTGATATCCGGTGCAGGAGGACACAGCTTTCCAAGTGGAAGCATGTAACACAGTGCCAGAGAGAACGCGGGCCACACGTGAGGTGGGTTCAAACCCCACGCCGACAGGCATCTCAAGACCCCCCAGGTCAGGCCCCTCGTTCATTGAGTTTATTACTAAGAAGTCACATTTTCGTGACTTCTGTTCAGATGCTTTTGTTCTGAAATAATCACAGTGGTCTCTAAAAACTTAATGACTGAGAGTGAGTGTTGGTGAGGAGGTGGAGAAATGGGGGCCTTCATAGGCTGCCGGCAGGAGTGTAAAACGCTGCGGTCAGTGTGCAAAACAGTTTGGCAGTTAATTATAAAACTAAACATAGAGTTACCCAGAAGTTCTACTCCTCGATGAAGATCATTGGAAATATAGGTACAGACAAAACTGAGGACACAAATGCTCATGGCAGCATCCTTCATAGCAGCCGTAATTGGAAACAGCCTGAAAATGCATCGACTGATGAATGGATGAGTAAAATACGGCAGAGCTGTGCAGGGGCACATGCAGTGCTGCAGAAGGATGGGGCTTTCAGACATGGCGCGTGGGCAGGCCTTGAGAACACTGACCGCGTGTCGTCTGACCGCGTGTATATGAGATGTCCACAGTAAGCAAATTTACGGAAATGAAAAGTAGGTTCGTACTTTCCTAAAGCTGAGGGTTAGGGGAGAATTAGGGAATGGCTGTCGGTGGTTCCAGGGTTTCATTTTCTGGGATAAAGTATTCTCAGGTTAGATAGTGCTGCCGGCGCACAGTTCTGTGAATACACTGCAGTTATGTAACTGTTCTCTTTACTGGAGTGAGTTGTAGGGCATATAAATTATACATCAATAAGCTGTTTTTTGTTTTTTGTTGTTTTTTTTTTTTGAGACGGAGTCTGGCTCTGTCACCCAGGCTGGAGTGCAGTGGCACGATCTTGGCTCACTGCAAGCTCCGCCTCCCGGGTTCACGCC